AGAAATTTTTAAAACACAGTAACACTCAGGGCACACATTACATTAGCTACCAGAGAAATGACATTGCCTCTGGCAGGTAACCTCTGGAAAACTCATGAGGGAGGGAGGAGGCAAATCATTTCTTAATACTATCATGAAAGCAGTTTTGATCTCACAGACTTCCTGTGAGGACCTCAGGGACCACCCAAATTCCCCAGAACACACCTTGAGAACCGCTGCAATGCCATATTCTGTCAGTTTTACTTTCTAAATGTCTCATATCCACCTGTTCCATCCTCTCTCCATTAAAGTCACTAATGTATTCCAAGCTCTGTCTTCTTTCATCTGGACCACTGCATTAGATCCAGTGGTTCCCTTATATCCATTCTTGCCCCACACCAATTTATTCTCCACACTGAAGCTAGATCAATCTTTTCAAAGTAAATCTGAGTATGTCATGTCACTCATTCCTTTTCACTTAAAAACCCTACAATGGATTTCCCATTGCTTTCAATATAAGGATTAAAATTTTCATCACATTTGGTAAGGCTCTACCTCTCTCCCCAGACTCAGCCTGTCCCCCTTCCTCTTGTCTCAGCTCTCCAGCCCTCAGGATTCTTTGTTTCTCAAACACACCAAACTCTCTCAGCCATCAGGCTCTCCCTGCCTGAGACTCTTCCTTGTATCTCCTCTGTATAACTCACAGTCATGCTCTGGGTTATAGCCTAAGGCTTTCCTGCTCCCAAATCAGGCCACATCCCTCTGTCATACGTACTTACAGCATCATATACCTTTAGTCATAGTCTATAATTATACATTAGTCACAGCATGACCCATAGATGTCTGTCTTCCCACAGATCTATAAGGGCAATAGTGACAGGAGCTATGTCCATTTTATTCTCACGTTGCTGGCACACAGATACTTTGGCAATTATTTCTTGAATGAATAAATGAATGAATAAAAATGCAGCCTGACAGGGAGATAACAAGAGAATGTGATAAGCATTATAATGGAGATGGGTATAAATGGTCAACATTTTCAGCAGCTTCCCACTGCCTACCAAAGCCTCAAGTGCAGTCAAGGCTCCTCAGAAAGTGGTCCAGGCATCCTTTCTCACTCTGTTTTCCTCCAAATACATCAACCAATCTAAAGGATAAGTAAGAGTTCCATAGGCAAATGGTTAAAAAGCCTCTCCCCTCACCTTTGCCTATGGAAATCCTCCATAATCTCTAGAGATCAGCTCAAACAGCTCCTCACTAAAATGCATTTCCCAGGTCACCCCACTTAAAAATAATCTCTGCCACTTTTCAGCTTTATATCGGGTCTAGTAATAATTAATGTCGTTTTTAAACATTCATTTGAAATCTTGCTTGGCGTTGACTTGTATTGACATAACCTTCAAACACGTGGTATCTACAGAACGTGTGAAGTGCAATTAACAAGTTTTGCTTGAAAAAGTTTGTGTTTGGTTTGGTTTTTGTTGCAAAACTAGGGCTAAGAATATGGCGGATGAAGAGCATATTCGGCACTGCATGCTTTACGAGTTCCAATTAGGAAGAAAAGCAAGTGAGGCTGCAAAAAACATCTGTAGTGCTCTTGGTCAAGATGCAGTTAGTGCCAGAAAATGCCAGCGTTGGTTTGAGAAATTTCACGAGGGAAATTTCTCGTTAGATGACAAGAGTGGTCGGGGCCGTGTGTCCAATTTTGATCAAGAAGCTCTTGAAGCTCTTTTGGTGCAAAATCTCAAATTACCCAACAAGAGCTTGCGACAACTTTAAATTGTTCACAAAAAACAATTTCCAATCAATTGCGTGCACTTGGCAAAGTCCAAAAGTTTGGAAAATGGGTTCCTCATGAGTTGACCGACAACAACCGTAATCAAAGAGTCACAATTTGCAGTTCGCTCCTCTCTCATCAAAACCGTTTGCCGTTTTTAGAGCAAATTGTTACTGGAGATGAAAAATGGGTGCTGTATGTTAATTTGAAAAGGCGGCCTCAATGGTTGGACAAAAATGAGGCTCCGCAGCCCACGCCAAAACCTGACTTGCATGCGAAAAAAGTGATGTTGTGTGTTTGGTGGAATTTTAAAGGAATTCTTCATTATGAACTTTTACCATCTAACCAAACCATTACAAGTGCAGTGTATAGTGCCCAATTGGAAAGGTTAGCCCAAGCTTTAAGAGAAAAAGAACCCGCGCTGATTGATCGGAAGGGCGTAATTCTTCACCACAATAACGCACGACCGCATACTGCAAGAATCACTGCTGAAAAACTGCGCCAGTTGGAATGGGAAGTTCTCCCTCAACCTGCATATTCTCCTGATATTGCCCCTTCAGATTACCATTTGTTTCGTTCTTTGCAAAACTTTCTTCTTGGAAAAAAATTTAATAATGAAGAATGCCTCAAAAATGCATTGACCGAATTTTTTGCATCAAAATCACAAGAATTTTACAACAGAGGGATTAAAATGCTTCCTGAGCGTTGGGCACAAGTAGTAGAAAACAATGGCAACTATATTGTTGATTAAATTTTGTTGTATTGTTTAAATAAATTCGATTTAAAAAAAGGGTATTAGAAAACGACATTAATTATTACTAGACCTAATATATTCCCCCCCCCCCCTTTCTAAGAAAGTAACATTTATTTTTTTTAGTGGAAGGTATCATTAGCATAGAGTGATATGCAGAGAGAGGACTCAGTCCTATCACTGCCAGGAAGACCAACCATGTGATGAGGAGGTTGGGGACCAGAGCCAGGTGTTATCAGCCGGTCTTCTGGGGAAGAGAGGGAGGCTGGGGACGGACTCAGTCACGTGGGCAGTAATCCAATCAACCACGCCTGTGTGATGGCATCCCAACGAAGATGCTGGACACAGAGACTGGAAAGCTTCCGGTTGGTGACACACCATCATGTCCTTGGAGGGTGGACACGTCCTGAAGACATAGCAAGTTTCCCTGCTGGTACTGATTTGTATTCTTAATAAAATTGTAACCCTAAGTATAGCACTTCCTTGAATTCCTCAAGTGGCTCTAGGAAATTATTGAACCTGAGTGGAGGTAGTAGTGGGAACCACCACCATGTTTGGCTGTTGGTCAGAAGTACAGGTGGCTGGGGAACACCTGAGTCTGCAGCTGGTGTCTGAAGTGTGGGGCACTGCACCCCTAACCTGTGAGGGTTGTGCTCACTCCAGGTGGCACGTGTTGGAATTGCACTGTGGCTCAATAGTGGGTCCTTCCCCAGTCCGGCTTTCAGATTAGACCCCAACCCTGGTTGTGTGTCTCTAAACTCTTGTCAGCTCTGATGTTCCCTCTTCTGTGAAAGCTGTTCTCCAAAGTGGTAGGCAGAGTTGGATATTGCCTGCCTCCTCTCTGCTCCCACACCATCCTTAGCCTTCACTGTAGCATTCACCCCAGCCCAATGGCTGGTACATAATGTTTACTGAATGAAGGAACCCAGGATCTATCTGTGTTGGGAGGCTGTATTGCCCTTTCTCTAGATAAACAGGAACTACTTCATAGAAATCTTATTTCTCAGCATTCTCAGACAAGGAATTTCATATGACTCCCTATAACAGTGTTTCCCAAAGTGTAGAACGCGTATCCCCAGGGGTATGGGAAGAGTTTGGTGGGGGTACGTGTTGCACAGGAGTTTGGTGGGGATATGCACTGCACCGTGCTTAGCTGAGCCTAATTCTACGTTCTCATGAGTACAAGGGTACTCAGAGTTACGAAAATTATAGAAGGGGTACACATATGTCAAAAGTTTGGGAAACAATGCCCTATAACAATGGCCCAGCATTTAGCTCCTGCTTCCACATACAAATCACAGACACTTGCCTAGGAAAAGAAGGCCTCGTCACTGCCCCAAGTCCATTCTCACTGCTTATTCCACAAATGAACAATGCTGCCCTCCCAGACCCTCAATCTCCAGGGCCAGAGATGCTCTGGACAGTCTCTTTGCTGGGGTTTTGGCTCTCTCTCCTCAACCAGCTTATTGGAAACACAACTGCCAATTATCAAAATTTTAGAGAAATATGAAACTTATACACAGACTTTCAGCTTATTAACACTTACTACCAGTGCTTGTTTGAGTTCAAGAAATTACCCAGTGAGTCGAAGTCAATGCCTCAGCAACATATTCTTGCTACTCCTTCAGGAGGCTTATCACTCACAGACAAGCTTAACAACAAGACCAATGCTCAGACCTCCCCTCCCCAAGCTCAGCTCAAGATCTTCAGAGAGAGTTTAATTTGATGCAATTCTCCCTGTATGGATAGAACTTGGTTTCATAGTGGCAGCAGGAGTCTCAGCAAGGTTAGGACAATAGGCTCAACACAAATGTTTGATAAGGCCAGATTTCCCCCTTGATACAAATTCCCAGAATTCAAGAAATGGCCCTTTTCCTCAGATTCTAGGAAATAGGATCCAGAGCAATATGGAGTTACCTGGTATAATGCACAGATATAATTTAGATTTATTTCCTGGGGAGACCTGGCAGCAGCTACACAGCTTTCTTTCTTCCTAATTAGCCAATTGTATATACTAGGTCAACAGTCTCTTGTCCTTCCCAGACAACTTAATTTGACTTTTCAAGTGTTTCATTGGTCAGCATCTACCTCTAAGCACAGGGACTCCTCAGGAATCAAAGGCGGTTTGAGGTCAAACTTAGACCTGATTCTGAACTCCACAAGTCCACGATCCTTTGGGGAAGGAATGGTAAAAAAAAATGAAGGTAGACTGCTGCTGAAGGGCTTCACAAAAATGTCTGAGGAGATCACTTTTTCAGAGATATTTAAAAGGAATTTGATTACGCCATCACATCATTACAGTGTAAGTTTTCTGAGGATTACAATACCATTCCAGTCATATTTTTTTTAATTTCTTTTTCCCAAATAAAGGCATAGAGGATTATTCTGTACATACTAGCAGTTAATAGTATTTGCTGATTGTTTTTAATGAATAATTTTTTAAAATATGGATTAATTAGATGAGAGAAAAAAAAAAGGGGGTGAAATACTCACTGACAGAGAGGTGCCTGCTTCTGGACTCAGGGGGCTGGTAGACAGTATTTATATCTCCTGCAGACTGGGAAGCTTTGATCCGCACCTGCCTGGACACCCCAGAGAGGGGAGAGGAACTGGTCTGCAAGATAAAGAGGAAAAAGACTGAGATATCTTTAAGCAGGTGGGCTAAGAAAAATCTCATCACCCTTATATAGAATCATATTTTCAGCCGCCTTCATGCTTTCAATACATGAGCTACAGCTACCCAGCTTTCCTCCAAATTTCATTCCTCAGTCTGTCTTGGAAAATCACTATTTGCTCTATGTAGTTTTATGGCTTCACTGACATATGAGCACTGAGACCCAGTGCCCCAATTTAATAGGCAATGACCCAGACAAGGAGGAATAACAGCATTCCTCTATTAATCTGCCAAACAGAAAAGAGTTGTAAATACCCTCTCGTAAAATTCTCCAGAGAGCTTGGGAAGAATAGCAGGAAAAGCAGGAAATTATTTCAGCAGTGAGACCACCTGCCGAGTGGGGGTCAGAATAGAGAATGATGGCAATCTCCCTACCCAACAAAATTCTGGTTGATAAATATGTATTTTTAAAGTAACTTGAGGGGGTAGGTAGGGGCTGGGAGGAGAGAAGATAAAGGAGGGGGATGGGAGATATCTGTAATACTACCACAAAAATATATTTTAAAAAAGAGAATATTTGAGGTTAGAATCTTTAAAAAAAGTAACTTGATATGCTATTTCTTCCCATAATCACTCCCTGAAAATTAAGGTAAGATTTCAGTTGCTTCATATTACTGAAGTTTACATGTAAACCATCTCAGAATTGTGTTCATTTGGGAAAGGCTATTTCTATTCTGCCAGAGGTCAAAGACCTCAAAACAGGATCAGCAGCATTACCACACTGACCCCCAACTTTTTTTTTTTTTTTTTTTTTTAATTTTATTGATTTTTTACAGAGAGGAAGGGAGAGGGATAGAGAGCTAGAAATGTTGATGAGAGAGAAACATCGACCAGCTGCCTCTTGCACACCCCTACCGGAAATGTGCCCGCAACCAATGTACATGCCCTTGACCGGAATCGAACCTGGGACCTTTCAGTCCGCAGACCGACGCTCTATCCACTGAGCCAAACCGGTTTCGGCTGACCCCCAACTTTTGCACTGATCTGGTCAAATCCTAGAGAGAAAACAAAACAATAAAGGGGGATCCTTGCACTGAGAAAGCTTAATCTGAAGTTTGGTGGTGAGCAAGTGAAGTCAGAATATGCTCACAAATATACAGAGCACTACTGAGAGTGGAAATGGGAGCCTGGGATTTATAGTGGCAGCAGGGATCTCAACAATGTTAAGGCCAGATTTCCCCCTTGATATAAATTCCCAGAATTCAAGAAATAGCCCTTTGCTTTAGGGCCATTTATTTGGGTCAATAATTTGGGTCAAAGTTTCTACTTACATCTCTGTCTTTTACCTCCCAGAAGAAGAAAAAAAAAATCTGACCTAAACAAACTATATCCTGTCCTCCAGGAAAAAGGCCTCCCATTCTAAGGGGGTGAATTCAGCTGCCAAGCAGCCTCCTCTAGTCTCCCCACGCCAGACTTTCCACATGCAGGTTGTCTTGACAAACTGTATTGCTCTAATGGGAAGTCAGAACCAAGGGGAAGTGAATGTTCTTGCTGAAATCTCCAATGTGCAATAGCTCTCTGCTGAGAGTCAAAAAGGAAAAAGTCAAAGCCACATACTGAGGCAGCAGGCCAGTGAAGGGCAAGCAAAGGCCACAGCCCTGCAATCAGAAGAGCTGCATGATGAGCACCTGCTTGGACACAGGGCCTTACACATAGTAGGAATTCAACAAATCTTGGCAACATGAAATAGAAATGTATTAAAGAACATATACTCTAAACTCTCAATTTTAAAATCTAAAAGTTGAGATAAGAAAGTAGGTTCAACAGCCAGCATAAGTATAGATTTGTAAAAAGAAAAAAAAGGCTGAAGTTGTGGCAATAGGTTGTAAAACAGATGAAGGGAAATTAATAAAGGTTTCAAAGCAAGGCTTTCACACTTTAATGTATACCCAGATCACCTGGGACCTTGTTAAAAAGTAGATTCTGATACAGTAGGTCTGGGTGGGGTTGAGAATCTACATTTCTAACAAACTTCCAGGTGATATTGCTGGCACAAGGTCCATACTTTGAACAGCAATGTCTTAGAAAGTGAGTCATGCTTCAATTTAAAGCAACAATTCTCAACCCTAGCCACCCATCAGAACTACCCATGAGCCGAAACTGGCTTGGCTCAGTGGATAGAGCGTCGGCCTGCGGACTGAAGGGTCCCGGGTTCCGGTCAAGAGCATGAAGTACCTTGGTTGTGGGCACATCCCCAGTAGGGGGTGTGCAAGAGGCAGCTGATCGATGATTCTCTCTCATCAGTGTTTCTAACTCTCTATCCCTCTCTCTTCCACTCTGTAAAAAATTAATAAAATATATTTAAAAACAAAACAAAAAACACAAACTACCCATGAGGCTTTTGACACTTCAGACCAACTGAGGATGGGGCTCAAAGATTGGCATTTTTCAAATCTTCCCAAGTGTTTGTAATAGTCAAGTTTGAAAACTCCAATTTAAGGAGATAAAAGAGAATGGTGTAGCAAACAAAAATGAGGTTGATGTAAGGATTCAGGGAACCTTGAATAAAACTTAGTAGTGGGAAAGAGGAAGGAGGAAGGTAGGACTAGGAAAATAAATGGGGACTGTAATAGAGTGGAAAAAAAAAGTCAACAGGTGTGAAAGGTGTAGCTAGAAGAACATTCTAAAGATAGCAAACAGAATGTGGCATTTGACCATTCAATGAAAACTTTACTGAAGGATTCTGTGGGTAGCAGTGTGTGTGGCTGACACAAGCAACATGCAACATTACCAGAGAACCACGTACATAAAGACTGCAATGAGTGGAAGCTAGAAGATTAGCAAAGTGGTTATAAAAGTTAACCTACAATCTTGATAAAAGATTTGGTGGCATCAAACAAAAGGAATAAGTGGATTCAATTCTGCAGGGGCAGGGGTGGGGAGGAGTGTGTGCGTGTGCGTGTATGCGTGTATGCGTGTGTGTGTGTGTGTGTGTGTGTGTGTACACTTCCTTTAGTTAGGTTCATGGGAACACAAGCTGAGAAACAGCACCCTGGAACTCACCAGTGCTCTGCTTCAATAGGGGCACCAAGAAACATTTGCTTGAATGTAGTAATGATAGGTGTAGAAGCATCTAGGTGAGTTATTTAATAAATTTACAGCTTTAACATTAATTTATTAAAAACCTTTAAAAATGTTTTGAAGCTGTGAAACTTGAATAATGGATACCATCTTTACAACCCTTATATAAATTATTTTTTCTTTTTGTTATATACCACCAATATTCAAGGAGCTAATCCATATTGAGATTAGGTAAATAAATCTGTTTTCATTACTTCTGCTCTTCAATGCTTTGCAGACTTTGATTATATATATGCTTTTGTATGCAGATACAAAAGAATGCTAAGCTTAAAACCTGAGTCTAGAAAGTTTTAAGAAGATCAAGAGCAGAAAGATAAATTAAGAATTAGATGCACACATGTTTAGAAAAGTCTTTATTATAAGTCTCACTGAGGAAATGTTTTTCTGTTTTTGTTTTAAAGAGAGAGAAACATTGATGTGAGAGTGAAGCATCACTGACAGAGAAGTACTGTTCTAGAAGTGGGATTCCTGAGCACATAGCAATTTTTGAATCATACTTCTGTTTATTAAGAAGCTCGAAGTCTAGTTGAGGGAATTCCCAAGGAAAGATATAATTACCACCATTATCACTCACTGTTAATCTTAAATGCACATCTTTATAAAATGCAAAAAGTAATAGCAGCTTAAGTGTCCCAATCTACCTAAGAGTAACATGCTAACTAACCGTACATTCATGATGCCCTCCAGCCAATCACGAGTGAGCATGCAAATCACAGGCAGGTTAATTTGCATACATAGGGGCTGAGTGGGCTGTGGGTGGGGCAGGACGCTTGCTTCATTGTTGCCATGGTGACAATGCAGGCGTTCCACACCACCCCAGACACTCTGGGCCTCTGGGCATCATAGGAAGGTAGAAAGGTGGCTGGAGGCAAAGAGAAGGCGGTGCTGGCAATCAGAGGAAGGAAGGCCCATTCTTGCATGAATCTTTGTATATCCGGTCTCTAGTATAGCAAAAATGGTTATTTAATTAAATTATGGTATATCCAATTCAAGGGAATTATGTATCCTTATAAATTATGATTATGAAAATTGTATAATCTGCTATGATAAAAGTTACAAATATGCAACAACTAGAGGATAATTATTAAGCAACTTATAAAGTGGTATGCAAATTACATCCAATGACTAAACTAATAGGGAATAAACAAATGGCCTCAGTCAATATATTAACTAAATTGTAGGGGGTATATCAGGCTAGATCCTTTAAAAAGGTAATGGTCATGGTCTGACAAAGAAGAAGGAAGAACTGAAGAATGGGGGTGTATAAGAAAGAATGTAGAAAGATGAGACTGGGGAATTAAAAACAAGGATAGTTGGGTGATAAATCCTGAGTGCTAGGCTAAATGTAGATTTTATATGACAGGCAATAAGGAAGAACTGTAAAGAGCAGGTGAGAAATTTAAATAGAGAAATGAAATAATAAAGTATGTATTTTTATTTCAGAATACTTCCCAAAACATCTTTTTTTAAAAGACACACTTGGGATAAAGAAGACCAATCCTTATGCACAAGAACACGTCTGTAGTATCAGAAAATGTCTTCGTAATTCTAAGGATTCCTAACTGCATTCTCTTGTGCCTCCTCCTAATTAATAGGACCATCCAACCCCATACGTCTCTTAAAAAAATAAATGATTGGAGGAAGACACGGTTGCAACTGTAATGCAGCTCTATCCCTCCCACTCCTGCCTCACAACTGTTCACTCTTACCCAGGAACAAGTTGGTCAGGCAGCTGTGCCACAGCCATGGCTTTTATTTTTTTATTTAATTTAATTAATTTATTTTTAAAATAAATTTTTATTGTTCATATTATTACAAATGTTCCTTTCTCCACCCCCCCTCCACTGCTCTCCTCCACCAGGTTCCCACCCCACCCTCTGCCCTTTTCCCACCCCCCATTGTCCTCATCCACAGGTGCACAGTTTATGTTCAATCTCTTCCCACATCCCTCTCTCCCTTTTCCCCAAGAATTGTCAGTTCACTCCCCTTCCATACCTCTGATTCTATTATATTCAACAGTTACTATTGTTCATCAGATTTTTTTTTTAATTTCCTTGGTTTTTAGATTCACTTGTTGATAGTTACGTCTTTGTTGTTCATAATTTTTAGCTTTATTTACTTTCTCTTCTGAAAGAATCCCTTTCAGCAATTCATATAATTCTGGTTTGGTGGTGATGAACTCCTTTAGCTTTTTTTTTATTAGTGAAGCTCTTTATCTGACCTTCAATTCTGAGTGATAGCTTTGCTGGATAGATTATCTTTGGCTGTAGGTTCTTACTATTCATCACCTTGAATATTTCTTGCCATTCCCGTCTGACCTGCATGGTTTCTGTTGAGAAATCAGCTGACAATCGTATAGGTGCTCCTTTATAGGTAGCTACCTTCTTTGCTCTTGCTGCTTTTAATATTCTCTCTTTGTCTTTTGCTCTTGGAATTTTAATTATGATTTGTCTTGGTGTGGTCCTCTTTGGATTCCTTTTGTTTGGAGTTCTGTGCGCTTCCTGGACTTGTAAGTCTAATTCTTTCACCAGGTGGGGGAAGTTTTCTGTCACTATTTCTTTCAGTATGTTTTTGATATCTTGCTTTCCCTCATCTTCTGGGACCCCATAATTCTGATGTTGGTTCGTTTGAAGTTGTCCCAGAGGTTTCTTACATTATCTTCAATTTTCTGGATTCTCTTGCCTTCTAGCTTCTGCGGAGGAGTGTCTTCTGGCTCTTTATGTTCCAACTCTGATTTGATTCTTGCGATCTTCCATTCTGTTTTTAGGACTCTCTATATTTTTTATTTCAGTCAATGTATTCTTTATTTCTTATTGATCCCTTATCATTTCTTGTTGATTCCTTATTAATTCTAGTTGATCCCTTTTCATATCCTGATAGGTCTTATTAATCTTTTCTAGGAAATTCTTGAAAAACCTTATAAGCGTAGATTTGAACTCGCTTTTTGTCCTCCATTTCTTTCGTTTGTGATCTATTTCGTCTCTGCATTTTCCCAGCTTTCCTGATGGGGCGGGGTTTCAGGGTGGAGCCTACAGCTTTGGCTTCTGTCAGCACTGCCCTATGCGGCTCCTGCATCTCAGGGTCCTTCAGTACTCGTTGCAAGCGCCTCTGAGAGAAAGATGCCCTCGATTTTCGCCTGCTACCAAACAGTCTAGGCTCTCCCCCACTGAGCCCAGTATTGGGGTTCAGTTCAGTTGGAAGTGGAGTTGGAGGTGGTGTTCAGAGCAGTCTGGAGCCCCTGACTCCTTTTCGCCAGGGCAATCCCACAGCACAGCCAACCGTCCCTTCTCTGCGTGCAATGTGCGCCTCTGGGACCTCCTTTCGCCGCTCCCCCAGAGCCTTACAGCCCAGCTCCCTCTGTTTGAGTCTGGGTCCCCGGGTTCTGGCCTAGAACTGGAGTTCAGAGCAGTCAGAACTGGGGCCCAGCACAGTCGGAGCTTTTATCTCCTTCCCCCTAGGGAACGCCAGCCAGGCACTCAGCCGTCCAGCCCTTCCTCTTGGGCTCAGTCCTCTCCGCGTGCCGCGTGTCTCCATACCTTATGCTTTTACAGCTCCTCCGCTCTTTCTTCTGGTTTTTTCCTTGCTTCTCGTTGTAGAATTTCCAGTCAGTCGACTTTCGTGTAGTTCTGGGTAATGTCCATTTTATATTTTAGTTGTATTTTATTGAAATTGTTGTGTGTGGCTGCAGCTAGGTGTTTACCTGTTCAGCCATCTTGGATTCTCCAGCCATGGCTTTTAAAGGTACTGAAAAGACACCCGTGGAACCTCAGGTGATGATTCATAAATCACAATTACTCTAACCAGCCTCAATATAAAGCCTTTGGAGAAGGTGTATTCTCACTTGATCAGAGGTGCATGCAACAGAAAAGAATCTCAAAGGACCAGTTCAGGTACCTACAAAGACACTGAGAATCACTATAAGAAAAACTCCCTGTGAAGAGGGTTCTAAGACTTGGGATCGCTTTCAGATGAGGCTTCACAATCAACTCATTAATGTGCACAGCTCCTTTGTTCATCAGATTACTTTTATCAGTAGAGATTGAAGTCATCATTGCAGATGCTTGAGCACCATTCCACTTAAATTCTGTCCTGGTATAAAGCACCCATGGCTCTCATACAGCAATGTCAGCTGTCTACAGCTGGCTGTCTTCAAGCATAAGGAAAGGAGAGAGAGCCAAGAAATCATTGGGAACATACATCTGAAGAAAACTTGTAGAAGAATTCATGATTAAAAGCCAGACCCAGTTTATAAGCATTCTTGTGGAATGTAGTCCCCCAGAGACCCTTTAGGAAAGGAAACTGAATAAAGAATAACTCCTCACTTCTGACAGTCCCTCCCTGCCATTTTGTAAGGCAGCAGCTGGTAAGTTATAAGAGCCATACAGCCCAATGGCCTTTTTTCCAATGAAGAGAAGGAAAAGTTTATTTCCTATATGTGTCCCAAGGGAAAGGCACAGTTGCTGAGGAATTGTGGGAGTTGGGATTTATAAAGCATGAGTCCTGAATCCTTGGTAGCCTTTGCTTATCAATACTCCCCATACTAATCAAATCTCTTGTTAGGGTTCAAATCTAATTGAAAGGACATAAATTTAGAGAGAAAAAAAAAATCTTTTTCTATAAAATGTTTTCCTTCCTCCCACACCACAAGTCAAGTAATCTTTAGTTGCAACTTTAACACTGATGATCTGGCTTCACAGTGAAATCAAATGCAGAAGGCTAACTGACCACCAACACCAGTGGCTATGCTTTTGTTTTCACTTTAGTAGTGGCTGAGGAATACAAAATTCTGTCAAGGGAGCAAGGTGAACTCTTCAAGGACAGCAAGCTTTGTTTTCCGCTGCCAGGCTATGACAGGGGCTACTTACATGGTTTCTGTCCTGAGGCAGCAGCAATATCCTAAGGCTTTTCATGCTTGAGCTCCTATCCAAAATGTCAATAGCTTTATCAAGATCATCTTGGTTCTTCAGCAGGATGGAGAGCTGTGACACAAGACACAAAAAAAGAAAATCATTTAAAAGTCTTTAGTTTGCAGAAATAAGCAAAATAAACAAAAAATAAAAATAAGTTTGGAAGAAAACAATCTCGTTGGATACTATGGGGCCTTAAAAGATCGCAATGAAACTATAGAGGTATTTTCATTTCTTTGCATGTATAATTCCATAATTTTTAGTAAATTTACAGAGTTGTGCAACCTTCATTGCAATTTTAAAACAGTTTCATTGCTCAAAAATGATCTCTTGTGTTATTTATGGTCAACCCCCCCCCCCCCAAACAGCTATAGTCCCCAAATTTCTTTCCAAATTAAGCAGTAGAATCCTGTCTGACATTAACGAAATAAGCAGAAAAGGCATAGGTGGAAGAGGGATGAAAACCATTACTCAAATAAGGACACAAATTTAGACCACATAGCAGGGTTGGAAAGAGTAAATTTTATGGTAGATGAATTATTAATAAAACTATTATTACAAATATATAAACATAAATAAAATAAAAATTTTAGTAATTAGTGTATGTATGTCATGAGTTGAAAAAGGTGGGAAATCACTGCTTTAGACATACTCTCTTTACTAGGTACAAACACATTAACTTTCAAACTAATGCAGCCTCTAGCACCTTTCTTATAGCTAGAACAGCCAACTAACTGACAATCAAATGAATTCCTTCCTGCCCTAGCTGGTTTTGTTCAGTGGATAGAGCAACGGCCTGCGGACTAAAGGGTCTCGAGTTCAATTCTAGTCAAGGGCACATTCCTGAGTTATGGGCTCAATCCCAGTAGGAAGCATGCAGGAGGCAGCTGATCAGTGATTCTCTCTCATCACTGAAGTTTCTATTTCTCTCTCCCTCTCCCTTCCTCTCTGAAATCAATAAAAATATATTTGAAAAAAAGAAAAAATAATTCCTTCCTGTCCTGGTCAAGTAGCTCGAGGAGGAAGAGTCAAAAAAATCATTGAAGTACGTGCTAACTTTTGAAGCAAGCTACAATCAGGAGTTAAACTCAGAGAAGAATCCAGCATTTATGACTGTCAATAGAGGTTCTATCCACCAGTTTTCTCCACCTTCCCAATTCCTCTGCTTCTAGTTCAGTCTGTGCTGGAAAGAAAAAGATTACCTCCAAAATGTAAAGGAGATAATATAAGCCTTGGCTCTGATACCATACCTGATTCCACAATGTAGTATTAGAGCTACCAGCACTGAAATAGCAAGGAAAATGAAAATAGCTATATAATATCCCCATATATTGAAAAAATGAAACAAACAAAAACACCCACCAGAGATAACAGAGTTACTAGAATTAAGAAAAAGGTTCCAGAAAGTGAAAACATGTGATGATATTACAAGAACAAATCAGATCCTCAGCTAAGCAAAGAGAAAAAAGGTAGGCAGCTGTCCCACAGTTGTCCCCATAGCATCCATCTACTTTCTCACCTCATTGTTCATGTAATGTAGATCAAGAGGCTGCCCAAACACTGTTGTCACCTTGCGCTCCACATCTTCATATCTCACAGGCCGGCAGAATGCTATAATTCTGAACAGGAATAGGAAGCATGGTTAATTGCATCTTTTAACATAGGATGTAGAAAGCTATGACTTCTGAGTGATTATCTTGTTTTGTTTTGTTTTCAATATAGGACACAATTTGCCTTTTTCCTTTATTGTTTCTTTTTCTTCTCTTATCTTTTTTTTTTTTTCACTCTTCCTCTAAGCATCTTTCAGGTTTGCTAATAGTAACCACAAGTATTTGCTTATCCCAACCAATGCTCTAACATTTCGGCCTAGATATTTCTGTCAATCACAGCTCAGTATCATAGCAGGACACCTAGATTTAAGAACTATGTTCCAAATATTCCTCTTAGGAAGAAAACCTGGAGATTGGTGCAGCAGTCCTAAAACCATGGTCTTAACTCCTAAGTGACTCAATCTCAGACTTAAAAGATTTTTTCCATTGCTCATGTTTGAGATATCATAGGAATCTCAATACTGATTATCCTTGAAATAAAGATTTCCTGCCATAGAGTCACAGGAATTTCCCTTGAGTCGGTTATATGTCTGATTAGTTTATTAACCGGTGACACATCTAGGTATGTAAGTAGTGCTGATATTGATGCTCTTCTACAAAGACTCATCAGGTCGGTTCAAAGAACATTTCCTATAATGGAGAATATAGTAAGAACTCTGCGAATATACTAGAAGCCACTGAATTGTACAGTTTGTTAAGATTATACAGGTGTTGCTGAAACCGGTTTGGCTCAATGGATAGAGTGTTGGCTTGGGGACTGAAGAGTCCCGGGTTCGATTCCAATCAAGGATATGTACCTTGGTTGCGGGCATATCCCCAGTAGGGGGTGGGCAAGAGGCAGCTGATCGATGACTCTCTCTCATCGATGTTTCTAACTCTGTATCTCTCTCCCTTCCTCTCTGTACAAAATCAATAAAATATATTAAATAAATAAATAAATAAAATATATTTTAAAAAAGATTATACAGGTGTTAACATGATTTGTCATTCACTATCACAGCAAAATTTAAAAGTGGGAAAAGATGACACAAGATTGGCAAAATGTTGATAATATTGAAGCTGGGTGACAGGTCCATGGAGGTTCAGTATAATATTTTCTCTACTTTTGTGTGTGTTAATAGAGAAGACAAAAAGGATAAAGACAGATTTGACAACAAATTTAAATTTCTCATGGCAAAATAAATCATCAACAAAGTTTAAGAAAATATCGCCCTAACCAGTTTGGCTCAGTAGATAAAGTGTCGGTCCACAGACTGAAGGATCTTGGGTTTGATTCAAGGGCACATACTTCGGTTGTAAGCTCAATCCCTGATCCTGGTCAGGGCACGTGCAGGAGGCAACTAATAGATGTGTCTCTCTCACATCAATGTTTCTCTCTCTCTCTGTCTCTCCCTCTCCCTTCCACTCTCTCTAAAAATCAATGGAAAAATATTCTCAGGTGAGAATTAACACACACACACACACACACACACACACACACAATATCAAACTTGGAGAAAATACATGCAAAATCAATGGGAAAAAGACAGACAATCCAATGAAAAAAAAAACAGGCAAAGTATATGATGAGACAATTCAAAGAAGAGTTATGAATGGCTAATAAACACATGAAAAGTAGCTTAGTGTGATGGGAAAAATGCATTATTTAAACTTCCTTCATCTCTCAGTAGGTCTTGGGTAGAAGAAATCTGACTTCCATGTGGTGTAAAGCACTCAGCCATGGAACCTTTATAGTTCTTGCCTTCCTCCATGCTGAGAGGAAGCTGTGTGTTGTTCTTTCACATCTTTCCTGCTTCCCCAGAGGGGGAATAGGTATGAACCAAAAGCAGCAGCAATAAGACAAGGAAAGAGGAATTTATGTTATTGGATTTTAATGAAATCTAACCAGATAACTTCTTTAATGTTGGAAGTTATATTACTGAATATATTATTCTGTGTCCACCAGGAAATCTAAATATATTGTAATTTTTATGGTTTTTTCCCCCTTAAATCATCTGTCCCAAGCAATGATACTGTTGGATGCTATCTAGATATGGGTTACCTAGATTTGAGTGTTTTTTGGAGCCTGAGAGAATGATTCCTGTAAATTCCTAATCATAAATCATACCTCCGCCCCCTTCATCAGGACCTCTGTATCAGTTCAAAAGGGGCTAGCCTTTTTGAATAAAGTATCAGAAGACCACTCAGATGTTCCCAGCACACTATAAAAAAAGGATCGGCTCAGAAATAAATTTTTCTGCATTTGGCCTAGAGACAAGCCATTCAAAGCCCCAAGAGCAGCCCAAAAGCCTGGTCAGGATCAGAAACCAGGACTTCCAGAGTTGGTAAGATCTAAACTGCTGCCAACCCAGTGAATAACAAGCATTTTTAGGCCAGTGTTTCAAAGAGGGATCGAACACCCATGACAATCATCTTACCAGTGTCCAGACATGAAAGTTTTCAAACAGAAGGAGATCCTAATCTACAGGCCTCCTCTTCTGCCCTCTTGAGGTTAAGAGGGAGAAAGGTCAGAAGTCTGGACCCTGCCAAAACCGGTTTGGCTCAATGGATAGAGCGTCAGCTTGGGGACTGAAGGGTCCCGGGTTCGATTCCGGTCAAGGGCATGTACCTTGGTTGCGGGCACATCTCCGGTAGGGGGTGTACAAGAGGCAGATGATCGATGACTCTCTCTTGTCAATGTTCCTAACTCGCTATCTCTCTCCCTTCCTCTCAGTACAAAATCAATAAAAAAAAAAAAAAAAAATATATATATATATATATATATATATATATATATATATATATATAAAATATAATTATATATATATATAATTTTTTTTTAAAAGAAGTCTGGACCCCAACCTTCCAAAGCAAAGGGGAAATCAGCTCTCCAGAATGGATACTTGAAATAGATGAATGGGAAAAGTCATTACTTATTTTTTTCTATAAATTTTAATTCTATAAGATATTTAGATAACTACTGTCTATATTCCCTGTAAAAAGTAGAGAAAGCCCACAATAACGTTCTCTACAAAATTTTAAAACATGAAATACACAAAACCAGAGCTGTCTGGCACAAAGCAGCTTGAACTTGGCTTCCTTGCACCAACTTTATAAAGTCCTCAGTTCCACACACAGTACACAAACAGTGAAATGCTCTGGCTCTTAAAAACAGCTCCATAAAAAGAGAATGCAGTTTTCAAAACCTTGATACCAATGCTCTGCTGCTCAGGGCTTCAAAAGACCATTCCTGCCTGACCACCTTAAATATTTGTGGTTTCGATCTGGCAGCTTCTCTGAAACTAAACACATACACGTTCTCAGTGTAAGTCTGCTCACTGTAACTGCATACCACTCTGGGAACAGGAATTCAGGAGAGCATAACTGCATAATTAGGCTCCAATACAATTGAGCTTTTGATTTCATATCTACTGAAAACTCTGGGATGCAAGTCTGGCCATGCCTCCAAAGCCCAATCAGGTCAGAAGTGTGAAAAGCAGCAATAATGAAGTGACAATTTAACTTCCCAGCTATTGGCAAGACACAAGAGGAGCAGCTGGGGACAAGGCTCAGAAGGCCTTCCTCCTTCCAGACCTGGAAGAGCCCTAGAACCCACATGGTAGCAGCAAGACTGTGGCTCTGCAGACCACTCTTTGCAAAATGTTTCCATTAAGCAGGCTCTGACCACCTTGTGGGTTTGTAGATGTGTCTTTTTAAGGAAGAGCTATAGCCACAAATATCCTACGGACTAGCTTCAAAGTGGACTGAAAACTGCCAGCAGCAGAGAGGTGCCAATACTAAAAATGTCTGGAGAAACTAAGATCCTCTGGAGGAACTTGTAAAATAGGGGGACCTTATACTCAGTAGTATCCTCTCCATATCCTGGGAGCAAAGAAAAATGAGGGATATGAATGGAAGAAAGGCAAAGAGTGGGAAACAGATATGAAAGGCCACTTATGCACATACTCATATATACACACAGGGTCCCAAATATCCCACAACCAGAGTTATCTATGGTTTTTAGAAGTTTTTCTTTAAATAGCATGAGAAATTAAGTGGAGTCATATTTTTCTTCACTAAGAACATCAACTTTAACTTCCTACAAAAAAAAGAAGAGAAAACCAAAAAACTAAATACTGACAATGGAGAAAAGGACCATCAAGGTTTTGTAATATTACTTTCACTTCCCTAACAAGGTAAGATACAGAATATAGACTGAAAAACTCCCTCTTTCTTTGTTCTCTAATGATCTGAGCTCTTTCACATCTGCAAGACTTGGTGAAGCTTCCCATGACCTCTATCAGGAGCTACATGTGATTTGAGAGCCACGGTTTGCCTCTGTTGACTAATGAGTTTACCAACCATTAACCTAGATATTATAAAACTTTCAATTCATCACCCTGACCCCGACATGGACAAAATTAGGGCCACTCTACCAGGGATGGGAATGGCACATCACAGGAGAATCCTAAACTCCCTCTAATGTGTGCAAGTGGTACGGTGTCAGTGTCTGTGGAAGTTATGACTGAGAAGGGCTGAAGTCCTAACTTCTTTCCCTCGCAAATTAACAGATCTCACAGTAACAGAATAAGAGCAGGAGAGAAAAACATCAGCAGTTTAAATGACTTCCATATAGACTAGAAACAGGTTCAATTGGTAAGCCAAGCCAAGGGTGAAACGTTAACCTTTATGTCCAATCAATCCCGTTATCCAGCCAGTGACCCCACCAGAATCACTCCAGGGACACAACCACTAATCAGAAAGCAGACTTACCGCCTCTCCCCGTTGTGCTCAAACTTGATTCTGACGTCACTCTGCCAAAGAAATAAGACAAGTTAGCGGTACTCTGGCATGTGTAAGGAGTAGGCAGTCATTTAGCAACATTAAGCAAATATCTCTGATGTCCTTTTCCAGTGTCTCTACCCAATGGGCAATCCCTTTTCCAGTGAGTTATAGTCTTCCAGTTCTAAGCTCAGGGGCAACAAAGCTCTTAGGACAAGATTCCTAAGTGGCTGCCCCAGATTAGTTTTATGTTCTGGCATTTCATCCCTCTATATAATTTCCTGGCCAGGATACCATTCCTTCTTGTCTTGGCTAATATGATTGAACAGAAAAAGAAATCTTAGTACTGACACTTCCTAGTTATATGGCCACAAGCAAATTACTTATCCTCTATGAATCTTGGTTTTTCCATCTGTGGAATGGGGCTAAACATATCTAATTTGCAGAGTTGCTATGCGAACTAAATAAGATAATAGAAGTAAAATGCCTTATATACAGTAGACATGCAATAAATGGTTGCTACTGCTACTACTGATCTCTGTGATCCTCTCAAGGCTACCCCCAAGGGGATAACATGGACAAATTACCTTATAACTGCCCCAGGTTTATCCTAAATGACCATCATGGGTAGCCTATAATCTACAGGAGAACAGGAATCGCATCTATCTTGTTTCTGTACCCCAGAGATAATCAAGAGAATGATATATAATATTTGGCCTTAATATTTATTAAATGGATTAATTGGAGAACAGAGTTGAATGTAAATATCAGAAAAAAAGGAAGTAGAAGTGTTAAAAACATATCAAGGAGTAAGAGATATTATGAAGGGCAAACAAACAACTCGTAAGAGTTAAAAATGAAAGGAAAAGGGAAGAGGTATGACAGAACAACTCGTATAGAGGGGGAGAAAAGTAAGATAATTAGAAAATAAAAAAATAATACAGAGAAGAGAAAGAATTCATAATCAATGAATGAAAATCATATTGAGAAAGATGTTTATAGAATGGCATGGAAAAAAGTAGAGGCTTTCAAAGAATCTGAAGATGAGGAACACAGAACAGACAAAAAAGAAAGAGAGTCTGAAAGGTAGAATGAATACATATAAAGTTCCTCTTCCCAAGAGATTAGAGGCCTAGAATTCTCTTCCAGTCCACTGAAGAACTGGACCAGTGGTTCTAATTTACACTCTTAAAATTGTGGAGAATCCCAAAGATCTTTGGTTTATGTAAATTATATCTAATATTTGCCATATTAGAAATTAAAACTGAGAACATTTATTTTATTCATTTTAAAGTAAAAAACCAGCTGAAGCTGGTTTGGCTCAGTGGTAGAGCGTCGGTCTGCGGACTGAAAGAATCGAACCTGGGACCCAGGTTAGGGTCCCAGGTTCGATTCTGGTCAAAGGCATGTACATTGGTTGCGGGCACATCCCTGGTAGGGGGTGTGCAAGAGGCAGCTGGCCTATATTTCTCTCTCATCGACGTTTCTAGCTCTATCTCTCTCTCTTCCTCTCTGTTAAAAATCAATAAAACATATTTAAAAAAGAAGTGAAGATTGCTTATAAAAATAAATAAAATAAAAAAATAAAGTAAAAAATCAGTGCATGTTAATGTAAATATATTTTTTATTTAATAAAATAACTATGATTTTTACAAATTTTGTGAGAGCTGGCTGGGTTGGTTAGAGCATTGTTCTGATACACCAAGCTTGCGAGTTTAATCCCCAGTCAGGACACACAATAAGCTGCAACCAATGAATACATAAATAAGTGGAACAAAAAATCAGACGTGTCTGTCTGTCTCCTCCTTCCTCTCTCTGTAAAATCAATAAATAAACATTTTTAAAAAAAGGTTTACTGAGAGAATACAAATCTTTTCAATGCATGGCTTAATAGGAGGCAGCTGAATTCTCATATTAGCTTCTGCTTTCAATATGTTGTAATATTAGATACCATGTAGCCTGTGGAAAACTTTAGATTCTTAAGAAAATGAAGCTGAAAAGGGCAAGTAACATCTTGGTATTATTATGAAATTGTTTAGACCTCAAGGACTCCTGAAAAGGTCTTGGGAACCATCTAGAGGTCCCTAAATCACACCTTGAGAATCACTGAATTAAAATATAAGTATACCATCCTCTCTGTGTTTCCCAAATTTTTGACATATGTGTACCCCTTCTATAATTTTCGTAATACTGAGTACCCCTCTACTCATGAGAACGTAGAATTAGGCGCAGCTAAGCACGGTGCAGTGTATATCCCCACCAAACTCCTGTGCAACGCGTACCCCCACCAAACTCTTCCCGTACCCCTGGGGGTAAGCGTACCACATTTTGGGAAACATTGATAACCCATTATTTTAAACTAGAGGCCCGGTGACCGAAATTTGTTCTCTGGGGGTGAGGAAGGGTGCCCCAGCCTGGTCTGTACTCTCTCACAGTGAGGGAGCCCCGCAATAGATCATCCCAAAGAGGTAGGCCCTGCCCACCCATCTGGGGCTCCTTGATGGATTGCTCCAAAGAGGTAGGCTGGAGCTGGGGGTCCTGCCTCCATGCTGCGCAGAGTCGCGGGACCCTCAGGCCTGGTGGCATGAAGCCACAGGACCTGCCATCGTGCACACAGTGTCAACTCCCCACCCACCTGCAGCTCCTGGTGATCGCTCATTGCGGCATGAGGGCGTCAGGGCATGAGGGCATGATGACCACGTAGGCTTTTATTAATAGGATACAAGGAAACTGGGGGCCAGAGAACTTAATGGCCCTGAAAAGGTCACCTACTAAACAGTGGAGACCAAAGCTTTCCTAGGAGCAGGTCTGTGATGTGACAATTCTTCCAAATACAGCCCTGATATAGCCCTCTCATCCTTAATATAACATATAGGCCACTTCATCCATGAATAAATTTACTGAGACTTGTTCTAAGCATCTATCTATATAATCCTATATAACAAAGAGCTAATATGCTAATTAGACTGGACAGCAGAATGACCTCTGAAACGACCAGTGGCTGGAGGGGGGGAAGAACGGGCCACAAGGCAGCAGGGGCCGGGCCCCTTGCATGAATTTTGTGCATCAGGCCACTAGTTTATATAATAAAAGCCTAAGTGACCATTATGGTAGAATGACCAGAAAGATTGATCACTATAATGTGCACTGACCATCAGGGGGAGGGCTGCTTAGACAGAAGCCAGGCTCAAGGCTGGCGAGCACAGCGGCAGTGGTGGGAGCCTCTTCACCTCTGCAGCAGCACTAAGGAGCAGTGAACTGAGAGGTAAGGAGCAGTGAGCAGTAAGAAGAGAGGGCTGTTCTAGACCGCAAGAGAGCACAGACCAGCCGAAACTGGTTTGGCTCAGTAGTAGAGTGTTGGCTTGCGGACTGAAGGTCCCAGGTTCGATTCCAGTCAAGGGCATGTACCTTGGTTGTGGTCGCATCCCCGGTGGGGGATGTGTAAGAGGCAGCTGGTCGATGTTTCTCTCTTATTGATGTTTCTTGCTCTCTATTTTTCTCCCTTCCCCTCTGTAAAAAATCAATAAAATATATTAAAAAAAAAAAAAAAAGAGACAGAGAGAGAGCACCGATCAGGCTGAGGGACCCCCACCCCCACCAAGGGCACAAATTTCGTGCACTGGGCTTCTAGCGTTACATATATCAATTAACCTGTTAACCGAGCGGGACCTATAAGTACGTCAAACGTAAACAATATCGGGAATGGGTAGGACGTATGGATACGTCCTTGAAATATATGTTGCGCCCCGAGAGGGACGGTATATATTTTTTGTAATCTTTTTTTAAATTTTATTTTATTTTATTTTATTGATATTTTTACAGAGAGAAAGTAAAGGGGAGGGATAGAGAGTTAGAAATATCGATGAGATGAGAGAGAAACATCGATCAGCTGCCTCTTGCACACTCCCCACTGGGGATGTGCCAGCAACCAAGGTACATGCCCTTGACCGGAATCGAACCCGAGACCTTTAGGTCCGAAGGCCGACACTCTATCCACTGAGCCAAACCGATTTTGGCTATTTTTTGTAATCTTTATCATTGTTTATAAAATTTATAATTTTTTAATTCGACGTGTCCATTTTTTTTGTCGGTATTCTTTTCTATTTTTTTTTTTTGTAATTTTGTATTTTCCTTTGTGCTTTATATAAATAAATAAATATATATATATATTTTTTTTTCATTTATTTTCATTAAGTATAAATAAAAAATAATAATATGAAATTACGTCCTCCGGGCGTGACGTACTGACACATCCTAGTGAAAGAGTACGCGCCCGTTACAGGTTGCGTCATTAAAAAGGGAACTCCCCGGTTAACAGGTTAAACTAACCCTCACAACAGGTACTATTATTTTTAAAAAATATATTTGATTGATTTTTTACAGAGAGGAAGAAAGAGGGAGAGTTAGAAACATCAATGAGAGAGAAACATCAATCAGCTGCCTCCTGAACACCCCCTATTGGGGATGTGTCCGCAACTAAGGTACATGCCCTTGACCAGAATCGAACCTGGGACCTTTCAGTCCACAGGTTGCCACTCTATCCACTGAGCCAAACCCGGTAAAGCAACAGGTACTATTATTGTCCCTATTTTATATAAGAAACTGAGTTACAATGAAATTAAGTAATTTCTTTCAAGGTCATGAATCTTGTAAAAGAAAAGCCAGGATTCATACTGAGGAAGCCCAGCTCTTAACTACCATATTATGCTACAAATTAAGCATTACATAGGCAAAGGAGGTTTATTTTATTCACAGATGCAGGGCTTCAATGGGAGCACTGAAAGAAGGAAACCATTAAATGATCTTTTGTGATATTACTTTTTGGAACTCATATGGAAGAGATGGAAAACTCCCCATATCTAGGGTTATAATGGAGTCAGGACCGGGAGACTGGTACCAATCATGCAACAAGCTATGGGAACTGGAGGACCAGTAAGTAGGAAGGGTTGTGGTTAGGGTTGTGAGTAGATGGGATGGAGGAGGTAAGTGGGGAAGGTACTGTGCCCCACCAGGTCTGCGTTCTAGGTGAGGG